AAAGGTCCTACCCTTCCCACTAGTTTTCTTTTTTTTTTTTTTTTTTTTTTTTTTTTCATCGGGGTTGGGTTTGGGTGTTAATACCATATAGGGGACCTAGAGTCCTATTGTATTATCACCTGCCCTGGGCGAATCATAAAATAAATATAAATAAATAAATAAATGATGATGATGATGACGATGATAACATTTTATACACGATGTACTAAATATACAATTTAACTGCAGCTAATGATAGCTTATGTGGTGGTGTCTGCATATCTAAACAAATTATAAACTTCGTCAAGTCTTCGTCGTTTACCAAATAATTTTAATTTTTTTGAATTGCGCGGAACTATATTTATCTTATTTTAGACTTGAATATAGAATTTTGCGCGCTGTGATTGGTCGAGTGAACAGTGAATTATGAGGCGATATTTAATTATAAGGTTTACCATAGCGGGAGTGTTACTAAAATGTTTATTTATTCTAATTTTTTTCTCTGATATTCCAGTCTGTAATTATACTAAAAAAAAAACAGTTTTTCGCCGAGGATTCGGTGATCATGGTTAATATTTACCTCGCTACTAAAAGACTCACGGCTTGGTAAACATTCTTCGATGTTCATGTCAACTTCGCCAAATAATTGCTAAATAAACACTAGATAGAATTCCATGATATTGAATTAATTCACTGGAGTAAATAAGGTAGGCGTTATTTTTTGACGGCAAAAGTCCTCTTTACTTGGAGACAAATTTTAACTCAGGGTGTGGTAGAAAAATTGATTTCGCGCTTTGGCTTCATTGAAATTCTATTCCACCCACTATTTGCTGACATCGTTTTTCAAGAACAAAATATTTAGACGAAGTGCGAGGCTTACAATTTTACTCCTACTGTGCTATTTTGTAGACATCATTAGTTTTTGAAATGGGCGCTGTTTGAAACGTCTAAACAACATACGTGAAATTAAGAACTTAAAAAAAACTATTTAAAAAATTTTCTTAATGGTAGTTTCTTTCATTAGATATATGGTCAGCTTTGGGTGTTTAATTTCATTAGTAAGTTTTTTAAGAGAGAAATTAATAGTTTTAAATACAGATGTTAGTTTTGGCAGAACTTAGTTTCATTACGGGTACATCATCTCAGGGTGCACAATTGGATAAGGGGAGAATGTTAGCATATGAAATAAACGAACCAAACGTAGACAGCTTGACAGGACATGCTCGTAATCATTTGCATACATTTTAACTACTTCCTCTACAACATACATAGACTATGACACCTCGAACGTATTGAATGCTCTTCATCATAAAACGGAAAAATGGATTCTCGTCATTCTCCCAACAAGATGAAAGGTGAAGTGGCTTTATTTCATAATCTGCTATCATGTTTTGACCAACTCAATGTAACATTTTTACATGTTGTAGGGATCGCGCTTGGCCTGAAGGAGAAAAAAACATTTGCCCAAGAAAATATTTTGCCTGTTGTGGAACTACGTCCTCGTTTGTCGCAAGGAAAACTTCCAAGTCTCGCTACATTGGTGGGTATTTACTGAATCACGTTCATTATATCATATAATCCTCTGATAACCCACTCTAATCTTACTATCGAACTGACGGCGTTTTTAAACTTGGCTTCATCGCTACTGGTTGCTGCAAATGACCAAACAGTCAATCGGTAGAAAACCTGGTTTACAACCATAAACCTGATTGAACCAAAATATTTTGAAAAGCCTGTTTTTGCCCTGGTTTAAGGATCCTTACTGCAGACTGTGTACGCTATTGTTCATATATATTTTTGGTTGTTTCCTACAGAACAGCTTTATAAACACTGTCATTTTGCTTYGTTTTTTAACCAGATATTTTCAACCTCCATCAGTTTTTATATAATATTCGAGCCGGTCTTTCGACTTTTTTGACAAGAGGTTAAATTTAAAATCGTAATTCAGCCGTATTGCTTGGTACTTTCTTGAAGTACCATATATATATATATATACATCAATAATTATATAATTTCTGGTTTTATGAACATAAGGTTTAATACGATTTATAGAACACCTTTATTAAGTTATGTGCACATTTTAAGGTATTTTCCATATATAATACATATTGTATGGTGCGGCTTTTTAGTAAGTTGTATTTCGAGCTGTGAGATTACCGCGCGCCGTCGAGTTTTTAATTAGACAAGCTAAGCTTTCGTACAGATTGACTTGAAGCAAGAGCGCCAGGCTTTAATCAGAGATATTTCGGTATGGTATAGTGCACACAAAAACCCACTAGTTATTATTGGAGAAATGACGCCTTCAATCTTGTCGCGAGTTTTGTTTCCTTAACAACCATTATTATACGAATGCACCTCATAAACCATGGAGTAAACTGCAATTTGGATCCAGCTATATAATTATACTCATACAAAACTGACAATTCAAACAAAGTCGTCTTTCAAGTGGCTTTTTGACGCTGCTTTCTGTTCCCCTATCCTTGCTAATAAATGATCACGTAATTCAAATGAGTATTTTGGGCAGCCTTCAAGCAGCTGGCTTGTGCTATTCAATATTGTGGTTTCAGTATTGGATCAGTTCTTACACCTCATTGGGAAAAAATATCTCTTTCTAGTTCTACGACGTCATAGGACATAACAAAGCCTCGACTAGGATGTATTCTGTTCACGATGCCTTGAGCCAAATTGATAGAAGTTTGTCGACTTATGATCTCTCATTATTATATTTGAAGCTCAAAGTGAATATTAGAAATACTGATTGGAGTAGAACAATAACTGAAGTATTTAAATAGAGTGCAGGAGATCGATTGGTTTTTTATAATACTGCTTTACAATTTTCTTCTTCTGATTTTCATCACATTAACCCCATCACAAGATTTATCCAGCGAGACTAAAAAAGAGATGGGTATCGTAAAGACTAAACGACAAAGACGTCTATCACTAACTTTTCTTCGAACTGCATCAGGACAAATTTATTGATTTTAAAATATTGATAATTTCTTCAGTATTGGCCGATGTTTGAATACTAATTTATTTAATTACAAATAGCTATTCATATCATTTCATCTTCTATCATCGCCATTTATAGGACATTCCTAGGTGTTAATACGCATGCTTCGCTTCATGCAGTTGTTTTCTTGTTTGCTCGCCATTTATTCATGGTTTGACAGCATATTGTAGGTGCCTTGTATTGAACATCCATCTTTTATTTATGTCATACGCATACATAATTATATCCCAATGTCTATCCTTTAGGTTCGCTATATAGTATTTACTTTGTTTGCCAGTGTTTTCAAAGTCCTTTCGTCTGACAAGATATTAAAGTTCATCCACGTGTATTCAAAACCATGTTCTGTTAGAGTACGGTTATCTTCAATTTGTTCAGCGCCAGTAAACACGACGAACGACGTAAACGAATGAACAAGCTTTAATAATGAAACGTAGTCGCAAGATGGCCGACCAATAACAACAGTAATGAACAGGCGTCACTGGCGCGGGCGCGCGCGCATGACAGGCACAAATGTCCGCGGGCACAACGGGCTCGCTGGCGCAGGATTGATTTCATGTACTTGGTGAATAATTTATGTTAATAGTAAAAAAAATCAACAGTGGATTGATGGCGAGATTTTCATATCGGCTGAGTGTTGGTGGACTTCTTTAAACACCAATATGTTCATCGCCTTTAGTCGGAAATTTCTTTTCGCATAAGCAGTCTGATCGGCTGCCAACTTCCTGTACAAATGAATTAAGATAAGCTTGGATTACGGAAACACTTGCCGAGACTACTTTTTGCTAGCAGCTATGACATCGCTAAAAGCACTATCAAAGGGAGTCTTTTCGTTAACATCGGTTCGAGCTGATGCAGCATTACACCGTGGTAGAACCAACAGATCGAAAAATCCTGGCGACAAACCTTCCAAGATATTAACAACTTACAATCATGAATTCTCTGAAAGCGATAATGAATCTGGAACACCATCCACGGTGAAGAATCAAGAGAGACGTGTTTCAACTCCAGAACTGCTCAGAAATGCATTGAACGTTGTGAACTTTAAGGTATGAACTAAACTTGTATACTCATCCTGATCGGTGAGTCAATACTTGGCCTTGTCCATACTCTCAAGACAATTCACATACAATATTTACAATACAGTATTTTTTTATTGAAGGTTACCTTAAAAAATGTTTTTCTTTGAGRATAATTGTCGACTAAAATATCGCAAAAAATCTTTCATTCTTTTCAGATGTTCAGTGTGTTTACGAAATTGCACTGAATCTAAACACGATTTTTTTTTTCTTTTTTCTTTTATTTTCTTTCTTTCTTTATTTTTAATCTTTCTTTTTAATCTTTTTTTGGTTTTATTCAAACATGCCTTTCTTTCCTATTATTTTAGTTATTGATTCCCGTCAATTAAAATCCCATACAACAAAACACCTGTTACTGCGCATGCYTGAGGATTTGTGTTTGTTCAAACATCTGGGATCCCTTCATGTGAGGATGTTGTGTTTCGTCAACATGGCGGGTGTCCGGCAATAGCACCACGCTTATTTGCAAAATCCATGACAGTTTTCCTTGATATATTCTCTACACATTACAGCCGTTGTATGATATGCCACAATGAAATACACAGATTGAATACTACATTTCTACCCGTTCATATATTACCGGCATCACTGATTACATGCTATAAAATATAAATACAGTCAAATCGGAATATCACATGCCAAGCGGTTTTAACCAAATAGTAATCATATTATAACATTTCAACAGAGTGATTAATTTGTGGTTTTGTGGGGTATAATTAAAGGAAAACGAATACAAAGGTTGTAACTGATTACTCAAGATTTTTTTAACATTTAATAGTACAGTAAAAAGTTACATAATTTGCGACGCATTTGGTCTATTATGCTATAAATATGATATCAAGGTTATGATTGTCCTACAAGGCAAAGAGTGAGAGACTGGGCACTAATGAGACGCTCATATGTATGGATTACATATCGTGATTGTCTCAATGGGGTTAACCGTCAAACACCTTCATTTTTTACAGGATTTAAGGAAATTTAAGGAAATTTTTAAACCTTAAGCGTCAAAAAAAAAACGTCAAATTTTGGTGAAGCAGTCTCGCTAGGCTTTAATAATGCTTTTTAGCTAAATACACTTATGTGACACTTAACTAGAGAGCCAATGAGGTCTCAAGATTTGCCAGTGAATTTCAAAATGGATGTAATAAATAATGGTAATTGAACGGAGTGGAGTACAATCTTGTCTGAAATCAAGCGCGTGCGCGATTACAAAATCGCACGACAGCGTAGCGGGAGCTATTTCAAAATCGAAATCGCATTTCTGATAATCTCAATTTCAGAATTTTCCAATTGTGACTGAGTTCTATYAGTAGCCTAGTTAAATATTTCGAGAATTTCTCAACTAAAACGAATGCTAATCAATTTACATTCTAAACGGCCCAAGCTTATTCCCCTAGATTCCATTAATGGTTTCATCATTCGAATATTCAAATCTATTATTATTTCTGAGAATACGAAGACTCAGGGCTCAAAATAATAACCGCTTCAAAACTCGAATTCTGATTGGAATATGGTGTTTCTTATATGGAATATTCCAATGAGAATTCGACTTTTGAATCAGTTATTATTCCGAATCTTGTGTCTTGGTATTCTCAGGAAGAATAATAAATTTCAATATTCAAATAATGAATGGCAACTAGGGGGTAAGCTTGAGCTGTTTTGAATGTAAAGTATTTTATCTTTGCAGTAGATAGATAGACAGACAAACAGTAAGACAGACAGCACGATTCTAAAGCTTTTGTAGCTTTGAGGTCAAGGACTTGCCACATTTTCCTCCAAACCTCATTACAATAGTCAAAACGGGGTTATTAATGTTTCAAAGCCCCAATAGCGGAAGCAATTTTTTTTTTATTCTTTTATTTTTATTTTTTATTTTTTGAAAACACGTTAATTTGTTCCTTCCAAGAAAGGTTTTGATCAATGACGACACCTTAAGTTTTAGTAGAAGGTACCTCTTTGATAGGTGCTTCATTGATCACAAGTGCAGGTAAATAGGACGTTGGCATGATGGCGTCATTTGACTCCCACTACCAAGATGCTTTGCGAATTTTCTTTCTTATTTAAACTTGTATTCCCTCATGAGAATAGTAAGACAATTGTTGCTAATTAACTGAACAAAAAAAAGCGTGCAAGGGAGTCTGGTAGTAGGGGTCAATGACGCCATCGTGCAAACGTCCTATTGTAATCGATAGTTTCAGGTCACCCATCCTGGTAAATAGCTTCGCTAAACCGGGCTTGACTTCGTGTCATTGAACTGAGCACAAGTTTTTTTCCACTGGGTCACGTTTTCAGGTAAATCAGCACACACCGCATAGCCGTGAAAACAATGCACCAGATAGACTGGACTTTTTAACATCATTTTTTCAACCGATTCCGTGCAGAGATGCAAGGGATTAGCCGATATTGGTCTGGGGGCCGGCTGGTCTCTCCCCTGATGCTTCGGCTAGAACATTTTCTTGCGTAATTCGTACACCCAATAGCCTGCGTGCTGCCGGACTTTTCTCTCGTAAAGTAATCGTACAGTTACGTTCGGCTACACGCAGGCTATACACCCAAGGGCAGAAGGATTTAATCGCCGTCGGAAGTCCATACGACGCCTCAACTCTGTGGATGTCTCAGGGGCAAAGCACAGCAGAATCTGGCACTGACACTTTTTTAGGAGCAGTACTTAACTTCTTTTTGTCATATCAGCAGTAACAAATAATTGATAAGCAATCTGCATCGCAAAAATCGTTTCCATACACATAACTTAAGAGTTCGTTAACACTAGGTCTATTTTAGATCGATCTAGTTTGGATAGACCCGAGATCGATCCGAATTACTGTTTCGAGAGCGTTCACACTATAAACAACCATAAACGTATAAAATAAGGTAGTCTTACCAAAACCGGGTGCCGAAATATCTAAAAGGTTGGGTACTAGTAGGGACTACTTGATTGGCAGATTTAGTTCCACTCGTTCCTCTCTTCTTCATTCTTATATTACTTACTATTCTTATTTCCAACATGTTCATGATTGCCTTTAGCTATACAGACAAACGTCACTTGTTTCTCAACGCTTCACCGCGTTTCAACATCATTCATGCTTTCACCTTTGAAATACAACAAATTTACTATGAATGCACGTTCCGTTTAGTTTTACTAAACGCATCCCACATGGGAAGGAGTGAGTATGCGTTCAAAGCCACCAGCGTCACAAAAAAGATTTTTGAGTTTGCTGGTCATAGCAAGGGGTTAATCATCTATGGTCTAGGGGCCGACTAACCTCTCCCTTAGGCTTCGGCTGAGCTTCCTGATCAGTCTGTAAATCTTCGGATAGCGGTGTCGGGGTCGAAATCTCCGGCGTAGCCGTAAATGCTTAGCGCTGCCATACGACGGTTCAGCACTCGATGTCTGGAAGTATGGTCCTTTTTCAATTAACCAAAGGTAAAAATCCCAAAATCATGTTTCCATAGCATGTGACTATTATGTTTATATATATGCACAATATACACTTATTTCAATAAAGTTAGTCACCTGAAAAGCTACAAAGCTGAGACCGACAAGGATTATGGATAGATACATTTTACATGTTTCAACCGCTTGATAACTGTTGATGGACTTGAGATCTTCTACCAGTTACAARTTCACCTCCTCTGAGCATCCTCAACTGCTGTAGTTTGTGTCAAAAGCTTTACTTGTTGGATATAAAGCATTTCCCCATGATTCTCAGCGATCACAGCTTTCTAGGTTTTTGTTGACTAAATTTATTGAAATAAGTATATGTCTATTGACTGTCTAGTGTCTGTTTGCGTCTATCCTTGATCGATGGAAGGGTCTATTGACACGCATGTCTACATATACAACATATACACTCACAACATGCGTGTTTTTATTGTATTTTCTTCAATATCTCGCCCTGAACTCTTTTATAATTCATTATGCCCAGATATTTACTATGTACTTAGTCCTTGTAYTGTTATGTCTATGTTTCATTTTTCTATTCTTATCTATACTTAGTATACTTGCGTAATTCAGTCTTACGACTGCAAGGCAATTYTTAAATAAAGTATTTGTCTAAACGCGGACCATTATTGAGAGGGAGGCTGCGTAAATYCTCCAAAAAATTTCGAGCAAGAACTTCACTTACGAAGAACTATTGCGCAACATTTTTTTAAAAAATTTAAACATATTAACTATCTGTGTTCGCTCCGAGAGCTGAGCTCATCGTGGGAGATTACACACAGAACATAATTACAATGTTTTTGGAGTTTTTAGGAAAAAGAAAAATAAGTTTAACATATTAGCAAGAAAAAACTATATATAGAAAAAATACAATGAAGATTACATCGTGGGAGATTACATGTAGCATATTGGAAAGAAAAAAAACATATATACATATAGAAAAAGTACAATGGAAAAGAAAATATAGTTATACTCTTTCAAATGAAACGATATCAAATTTCGCGATTTGAGATGTGAACGGCCCCTTAGGTATCCAGATTTATCAAATACTGCATAATATGTACTACACTGGAATCGTAGCTACACTTGTGAAGCGGTCCAGCTGTTAGCTCTTTTATTGAGTCGAATTTCTCCTCGTATCTCTAACATCAAGCTGTCTTTCCTTTCATTTTCCTTCCTTGTGCTCGACARTGTAGACCGCAATGCTCTCCGCTTCTTAATCTATCTTAACGGCGCTTTTTTCATCATTGTTCGAATTCAGTCGTACATTTCCGAAGTTTTAATGATAAATATTTCTACATCAAATTACGACGTTGATGTAAAAACAATAAAGTGAGACGTCATAGAATTGAAAGGGATTCTGGGAAAAGCTATTAATAGATATGATAACGTCATCAAGACAAAACCGATGTTTGGAACCTCTTAAAGCATAGATACGCGTTGATGATGGATAGACAGGTCTGTTTTTAAAAAACCTATTGTAAGTTAAAACGAAATGTGTACGAAGAAGAGAGAAAGATCAGAGTTAGGAATATAGATCTATAACTAATAATGTTTCACACACCAGTCGGCAAGAATGACCAGAAATAACCAAGCTTTCATTGAGTATAGCTGGTAAACTAAAGAAAAATGCTAAGGAAATGTTGTAGCGTAGGAAGCAAAACACTGAGTGAAGAAATATGGAGAGTCTTGCTGGTATCTTATTTATGACAGTTTTTTGTTTTCATTGCAGACTCGAATCAACTTGCGGTTCAACAGAGAGCAATTTGGTGGTCTTCATCGAGCTGTTTTAAGCGGCAAGACAGAAGATGTCGAGTTTTTACTTTCGGCAGGAAAAGGTTGGTTTTTATTTTATTTTATTATGGTACATTTTTTACCAGGCGGGAATAGGTTTGTTGTTTAAGCGGAGAAAAATCGAATTCAATACATTAAAACGTATCTCCSTGTGGGTCCTTGGAAATAAAGAGTTGTGTAGGCCTATTTGCTCCACAAACAAGGTGCATTCTGGTCTAGATTGGGCACAAGCAACACCAAATATGATATCGCATAGACCAATCCGCCTAACGCAATGTTTTACCCATTTCCAATCTACTGCGAATACTTTTCTTTGTCTATCATATTTGCATGTCATATCTATATCAGTGCTTCATTAACATGTAAATATAATGGACAAAGAAAAGTATTCCCAGTAGATTTGAATTGGGTAAACATTGCGTTAGCGGAATTGGTCAATGCATGTATTATAGATGAACTCCATGTTTTATCGCCCACTTCATTCGTGTATGACGTGTGCTAAATCATATATTCAATCTGTTGTTGTGCCATCATGCATTTTCATGGAACATGGCAGACAGATTTTAAAGAGCGTCCATGTGTTTGTCCTTTCCGATCAGATATCAACGCGCATGACGAGTATGGCAAGACTCCACTGCATTGTGCAGTTGGCGTTCAAAAACTGGATATCGTACAATGTCTGCTACGATACAAACCAGACATTGATGCACACGATGATAGAGAAGACACACCACTACATACAGGGATTAGGACTGGTAACATTGCTATAGTTAAGGTAAATAAACTGGATATTGTTAACCGGTACCCACCACCTCTGGAAGTAAAATCCTGGATCGTTTTGTCCTTAAATATTTCGAAAACTAAAAGTCAAATGAAATGAATGTGCGACAATGTCTRCAGGTTTGTGAGAGGAAGCTGTTTATCGGTACCACCCACATACCTTGATTAAATAAGGTCCCTATTTATTGGCCATTACCAAGCTATTTCATTTATGTTTGGATAGATGTTATCATATTCTGTCTAATAACAGTATTGTATGGTTGATATTACTAAGGCTATACTAATAGATGGACACGCAGATCCCAATTCACCAGGACATGCTGGATGCACGCCTCTACACGTGGCTGCACAACTGGAGAATGTCAATAACAGTGCTATCTGTAAACTACTGGTATGTATTGTCATAGCCTTGCATTGATCGTTTGGTGTTATCAAGATATTGGAGGTTATTAACAACACAAACCTAAGTCAGTTCAATACGCACCTGTTTCAAACAGGTCGTCCACCAATAAATAATAAATGATAGCCGATAGGGTATTCCAAGACTGATTCCAAGACTAATAGACATACATACGCGTAAACATAAGAAAAATCGAGGTATGTAAATTGAAAGCAATACTGAATGTCCCAACACTACCTGACCTCTGTATTCTTGACGATGATCAGGAGAAGAAATACCAATATTTACAGCTATTCTTGGATCTTGGAATCTCCCATCGCTTATCGCCTATCGTCATCAATGGCAACTGATTGCCCATAATTCCATTCGGTATTACTTGGTTACTAGTCCAGTTAACTGTGGTCACGTGGTCTTTTACGATTCACAGCTGGAAAATGGAGCTAAGTTGCTGATTCGTGATCATAAGAAAATGACACCTTTGGCCCAGGCAACACTACATGGGTTTTATGACGTCATGGTGTGTATGTTCTCTTATGGTAAGTACTACCAGACCTGTCATGATGATGGTGATGATGATGATGGTTATGATGATGACGATGATGATGGTGGTGGTGGTGGTGGTGATGGTGATGATGATGATGACGATGACGATGGTGATGGTGATGATGATGATGATGGTGGTGGTAGTGATGATGATGACGATGACGATGATGATGGTGATGATGATGATGATGATGATGATAGTGATGATGATGATGATGGTGGTGATGTTGATGATGATGACGATGACGATGATGACGAAGATGATGATGGTGATGGTGATGGTGATGAAGACTATGATGATGAGGATAATGACGATGATGACGATGATGGTGGTGTTGATGATGATGATGATGACGATGATGACGATGAGGGTGGTGGTGGTGATGATGATGATGGTGATTGTGATGTAGACGATAGTAATGATGATGATGACGAAGATGATGATGATGGTGATGATGATGATGATGGTGGTGTTGGTGATGATGATGATGATGAAGTCATGGTGTGTTTGTTCTCTTATGGCAAGTACTACCAGACATATTTGTACATGATGATAATGATGGTGATGATGATGGTGATGGTGATGGTGGTGATGATGATGGTGATGGTGGTGATGATGATGAAGTCATGGTGTGTTTGTTCTCTTATGGCAAGTACTACCAGACATGTCTGTACATGATGATAATGATGGTGATGGTGGTGGTTTGTGGTGGCGATGATAATGATGATGAAGTCATG